TTTTCTTGTCAAGCGCATGTTATTCCAGTTACGTTGACCAAATTCATTCCAAACGGGATATTTTCAGTTTGGAAAATAGAGAACTGTGTGCAGCTGTGTTGTTTTGAGGGTGAAGCATAAGAAAAAGTATTTGCCATTTCAGTAAAATAATTGTAGACACTTTTTCTTAGATATTAAATTACACATCTCATTGAGTGAGCCAATGAATAGAAAATAATGTAACCATCCATGTCACGGTTAAGCTGTTGTATATGTGATACAGACTGAGAGTCATGTTGAAAATCATTTTTGGAACAGCATTAAACTCCTTACACACGCAAGTTCTCCTTTGTTGGTAGGAAGGGGATACTATAAGCTTAAAAAGCTTAAACACAACAGGTGCCTTTATAACTAGACACTTTAAGTAAATAAGATTATTATCTTATAATTCATAATAAACAGTTAGTACTGTAGAAGGATCTCCTTCAAGTAAACATCCTGCATTAGAGAGGAAACTATGATTAATCACACCCTGTATTGTAACAGCTGCAAGTGACAGTTGGAGAGGTCACAGAGCATGTGTGTAAACTGCTCATATTACACCCACACCTCATTTAACTTGGTGATTAGCAGATCTTTGCATGAAGAGGATGAGTTTTTTTAACCAATCCTTGTGTTTCTCCAGTGTATCCAGAGGAGTCAAATATTCATTTAGTCTAGTAGCTAAAATCTAGTTGACAGTTTGTAGTCCTTCATTCATAGCTAAAAGTGTGGTGTTAAACGTCTAAGCTGTTTTATTTTCCAACTGCTGATATCAATGTTCAGTCCTAAAAATCCATAAAATATTATTTCCAAATTTTCTTCATATGTTATATTTGATGTAAAGATAGAGTAACTAAGATTGATGAAGAAATAAAACTGACAAATAAATGTGAGAGACTCACTAAGAAATTTTTAATTTATACTTAATAATTGATAGTCTTAATGTTTAATTAGTTCTTATATTTTTTTACGATTGTTATACATGCATGATAAAAATTGCATCTGCTATAATTAAGACATAATTTTTTCTTCTCATTATAAATGCTCCTAAAGATTGACTGAACTTGGATAGAAATTTAGCTATTTTATAGTAATCTTGTTGAGCTGTTGAGGAAAGTTAGCTGCATTTTCTTGAGGAAAAAATTTTACACGTTATACTTTCAATAAAGAAATTCTTGTTTGTCTCCATGCCTTAAAATCAATATTTATGAGCAATTTCAAAATTCTGTTATCTTGGCAAAAAAGGTTTTGGGGAATAAGAATATTTTTCTTTCTTCACCCAAAAAGTTAGTGATGGATCCACAACTATAGTAGATGATGCACATGGACAAGTACTCTGTTCTGTTACTCCTTGTTCATTCATTACTTGTATCTCTTTGAAAGCCTCTGTCTGTTTTGCAAGAGGGACTTGTTTCACTACCTGACATTTTTGAGCTGCATCTCCAGTATCAGTCATATGAGATATTTGTTTTGACTAGATAATAAGATCCACTGGAGAAGATATCTTGATATTGCATTAGCAAGTCATGTAATCTATGGTAATGAGGAGCTGTAGGATCTCCACAGTTTGGTTATACAGCTATTATGTGATGGTAAGCTGCCCTTATGTGAAGATTAGACATCTGACTTCCAACATCTTGCCTCAGAGGTGACTACTTTTGATGCGGAAGTACTACATATACATGAAGTCAGTTCCAAATATACATTCATAAACTTCTCATTTAATATTTTATTATTCATTACTTATTAAAAGAGTACCCTTGTTTCGTGAACCATCTCGATTTAGATCATCATGAACTTTCTAGATACTGCACCATCATCAAGATTAACAACTTCATTTAGCAAACATTTAAAACAGAGCTTACAACAGTACGAACATCCAGTGCATTAAGTAATAGAATTATACAGTTATAGGTATTCAAGTGCATATTATTACAGTACTATTTTTTATTCCAATAGGTGCGAGATAGATGACATTCTTCTGCAGCCTGTGGTCATGCTAGAAAGATTACCAGAAGAAACAGTGAAGCTGTATTCTGAAACTAATGGACTTACATACTGTACAGTTGATGCATCCCAAAATAGGAAGAGCTCTCTAGGCACCCAGAGAAAACTTTCAATCAGGAGTAAGAACAAAATGCATGCTAAGAGAAAGAAAAATATAGTGAATTGCCTTGCAAAGTGGCCATATTCACGGTGTTCCTTTTCTTTGGATAGAAGACTATTTCAACAACTATCTTGGAAGCTCCAAGGCAGTTTTTTATTTCTTCCCAGAAGTGAGAGTTCTCTGCGAAAATTCCGTAAATTTATGCACAGAAAATCTAGACCAAAGTTAAAGAATGGTTGTGGTCGTTCTACTCTGAATCTTCTTAAAACACCTGCTAGTTTAGATAGTTTTTATAATTTAAGCCAACCTAGTGCTTTTAAGTGTAACAGTTCTGAGCTTCATTTAAGAACCAAGTATTTAAAATATAAGATGCAATTACATAGAGCCCATTCATTTGGTTGCAAATGTAGTAGCAAAAGGAAAATGCATGAAAATTGTAATTTACAACAAAAACCTTCTAAGAAAAAGCTATGTAATTGTTCTAGCAATCACTCTGATTGTGCAGAAGGTTTTAGTAATTCTTGTAACAAATCTAATATTCCCACGAGTGTTCAGAAAATGTCATCAAGTACAAAAAAATTACCATGTCGTGCAGTACTATCACTGGGGAGTCCAGAAAAAACTAAGACACATGATTATGTCTCTGACAAAAAGTGGAAGAAAATTTCACATGATCAGAAGTGCCCAACATATGACACTAGACAGTTAATTAATGTAGGCACGATGGAATTAGCTAGCTGTAAAAACGTGTTTTGTGATGTGTTATCATCAAAGTCCAAAACCCCTCATTATGCCTTAGAAAACCCTCGTGCTTGTAATCAGATGTTTCTACGTGAAAATAATAGGCCTTTGTTTAACCATAAATCATCCTGCTCTGTCACGAACATTACATGTGAGCATGAGTCTACTAAAGTGTACATGAGCTTAACGATCAAATCGCATAAACTGAGTAATTTTAATTCGGGAGACTTGTTACACTCTCGTATTTTATCATCTTGTGCTAAAGATGATGGTATTAGTATGGATTTGATTAGATCATGTGAAATCCATAAAATTAGTGAAACAGAGCATATGTTAAAAAATAATAAATGGAGTGACACATTTTGTACAAGTGGACTTTCTCAATCCCAAAGAGACACCAGTGTTGAGAATATAAAACAAGTAGAAACAGTTCAAGATGGACCAATGCATTTGCCCAAGATACCCAGAGGTAATCCCAGGACATCAACAAATAATGCAGAAATTGCCCATGATGACCCAATTCCCCTGTTCAAGAATTCCAGAGGTAAACCTAAGACATCATCAAAAAAAGTAGAAACAACTCAAGATGATCCAGTGCAACAGACCAAGAAACACAGAGATAATTCTAGGACAACATCAAATAAAGTAGAAACATCTCAATATGATCCAGTGCAACAGACCAAGAAACACAGAGATAATTCTAGGACAACATCAAATAAAGTAGAAACATCTCAATATGATCCAGTGCAACAGACCAAGAAACACAGAGATAATTCTATGACAACGTCAAATAAAGTAGAAACAACTCAAGATGGTCCATTGAAACTGACCAAGAAACACAGAGATAATTCTAGGACAACATCAAATAAAGTAGAAACATCTCAAGATGATCCAGTGCAACAGACCAAGAAACCCATGTTGTCCTAGAATTATCTCTGTGTTTCTTGGTCTGTTGCACTGGATCATCTTGAGATGTTTCTACTTTATTTGATGTTGTCCTAGAATTATCTCTTTGCACTGGATCATCTTGAGATGTTTCTACTTTATTTGTGACCAAGAAACACAGAGATAATTCTAGTACAACATCAAATAAAGTAGAAACAACTCAAGATGATCCAATGCAACAGACCAAGAAGACCACAGGTAATTCGAGGACATTATCTACAGAACTAGGAAATTCTGACTACTTGAAAATCAATTCAAACAAAGAACCAAAAGTAACAGCTGTCAGTAATTATTTGTACATAGATAAGAAATCTGAATTGCATCTTTGTGGAAAAGAAGATCAGTTCATTTTTGGCACAACAATGGACTGTCCACTACCAGATAAGATTGGTAACTGTAAAGATTGTAGAAAGAATAGGAGAGCATCTGTTCAGTTTGAAAACATATTCAGCCCTACTGATGAATCATTTAAAACAGAACATGGTGTTAATGGTATTTCTGATGATCATAGACAAGATAAAAAACTAACGAATGATAAAGGATATTATGAATTAAATTTGAATGTTAAGTCCACAACTTTGGAGACTTCTCCAACTGAGAAAATGTCAAAAGATATTGAAAATTTTTCAAACTCTAAGTTGAGTGACACAAAATGCTTAGAAAACAAAATAGTAGCAGAAAATGTTCCAGTTATGAAAAGAACAGAGGCTGAATCTGTGGTAAGTAGGAAATGTGATGCAGTAAACTTTGAAAAGGAGTGTGATGAAAAAACATTGGAGTTCCAAAGCAGTGTTAGTGTTAATTCATTATCTCATAAAACTTGTAGCTCTTTACCAAAAACTAACTATAATGGATTAAAAAATAACAAAAGAAAAAGAAATTATGAAACAAAAGGCATGTGCATTGTTCATGAACCAAGTGTTAAAGGGAAACATGTGAAGAATTCTAACGCACAAAGTCGAGAATTTAATACGTCAGACAGTAAGTTAGATATCCCTGTGTTAAATAACTTGGCTGAAGTAGTTTGTGCACAGAATGAAAAGGATTACTATAAACATCAAGGGCAGATTCCAGAAAATGTTAAAAAAAGACCAAGAACTGAACCATCAAAACCAGTTCACAGTGATACAGCAGATTTGGAGAATAGAAAATCTCTTCCACTGACTTCTATAGAAAGCTCGCAGTTCAAAGTTACAGATAGTACAAAACAAACTTGTAGCATATTAGATGTTGATGCTTCATTGTATGGGAAACAAAAGGAATCGCAGTTGTGCAAAAAGATTCCCAAGAAAAATATGTTCGTAAGTCAAGATAAAGCAAGAAATATCAAAAGGGAAAATCTTCACAAGTTTAATGAAAAATTTCCAATGTCTAGTGAAACAACAAATACTAAAACCTTAGCTAACAAAGGAAGTGAAAAAAGTGATCTTGTTGGCTCTATATTAGCAGACATGAATAAAACTAGTCCCTATGTAATTTCACCACATGCATCTCTAAAGCAAAGAAATTTGAGAATGACTGAGGTACAAGAAAGGACGACTTATCCATGGAGCAATTCTGAAAAAAAATGTATAGCTAATGGTGGATGTAAACTTAGTTTTTCAGAAAATAAATGGCAGTATCTTAATAATAAAATGAAGGCTAACAGTACGCTGGGAAACAATCAAACATTGGTTAAAGAAGGAAAGATGAATAATAATATTATCACCAGTTTTGGTAAATTTGGAATAAAAAAATCATTGCACCTTTTGGAAACTAAAAAAATTATGGAAAATGAAAATCCTAGTATGGAAAAAATTACAATGGTAATAATTTCCATTTAAAAAGAAATGCTGAAGAAAAATGTTTTACTGATAGATCTCTAACAGAAAGAAGAGATTATAAGAAGTCAATTAAAAATACAAACAGTCATATTTGGTATAAAGATTCCAGTTCTTTTAACACTTCACAGCATTTATTCACTAAAAACAAACTGAGTAAAGTTCAAGTTGATAAAAGATCAATCACTGTACCTACTCAACATTTTAAGTTCGATAGAGTTGAGAGACAACGTAGTAGGTGTTTACCAAAAAGTTTATTTAAGGAGATAAATGGGAAGTATGAAAATAGTAGACAATCTTGTAATTGCAGACATACTGAGCACGAAACTTTGAGCTGCAGAGAAAAGGCACCAGTCACGGAAAAGGCTAAAAAGCAATGTAAGCAGATTTTTATGACTTCAACCCAACAGTTAAAACAACAAACACATTTGGTTCCTGGTCAGAAAGCAAAAGACAAATTTTCAAAAAATGAGGTAGACAGATCTGAAGTGGGAAAAGATTGCAAGAAAAGTATCTTTCACAGAAAGAGGAGTTCCAGTAATGAGAGCATAGCTAATCAATTCCATAATCATACGTCTCAAAGAAAGGACTCCGATAATATTATTTATACTTGTGTAAGTGATATAAAGCCAAAGTATCAGCACCTTCGGAGAACAAAATCCCAGAGTGGTACATCTCATCCAAATAGTGAAACTTTCCAAAATTATAAAACACCTGAAATGGTAGAAGAGAAAAAACTACATAAAGAACATACTCATCATTCAAATTTTCAAGTAGAACTAACATCAAAACAAAGAATGTGTACAATATCAGAAAAGATAGTTAAAATGTCAGAGCCCCAAGACAATACAACTGGAAAAATGGTGGGAGATAATTTGCATATGCAGAACCTGACAAGCAGAGGCCAATACAAGAAACAAAATAGGAAAGAGAAAACACAGTCGCAAAGCAGGGTTGAAATTGGTGGTGATAAAAACACCATTAAATCAAAAAGTAAAGCAATTCAAGTAAAGCACAGAGAAATACCTTTCAAACCAATGACGGTAGTTGAACCTGAAGAGAACGACTACAAACAGTATGTGCACTTAAGAAATGGAATACATAACTGCCATTATATATGCAGGAACAATGACTTAGATAAGTCTAACAGTGTTGAAAATAGAAAAAACTTGGAAAAAATAAAACTGTTAAAAATTACAGATCAAGAATGTATTAGGAGTAAAACAGTTAAAATGCTGTCAAACAGCATCATAGAAACTAATTGCAATGAAACTCTAGGAAATACGTACTGTTTAAAAAGCAATCATCATTCAGAAAAATGTAAAATCAACCAAGGGGAACATGAAGAATGTGAACAACTACAAAACCATAATACAAAAACACAGGAAATAATGGAAACTGAAATCATCCAAGGGGAGTGTGAAGGATGTGAACAATATAAGGAAGAGAAACAAAACCAAGGGGAACATGAAGGATGTGAAAAATATAAGGAAGAGAAACAAAACCAAGGGGAACATGAAGGATGTGAACAATATAAGGAAGAGAAACAAAACCAAGGGGAACATGAAGAATGTGAACAACTTAAGGAAGAGATACAAAACCAGAATACAAAAACACAGGAAATAATGGAAACTGATATCAACCAAGGGGAGTGTGAAGGATGTGAACAACTTAAGGAAAAGACACAAAACCAGAATTCACAAATACAGAAAATAAGAGAAAGTGACCCTAGTAAACTTACATGTATGGAAACACAAGTAAAGGGTGAAAAGAAAATGGTGGAATTAAAGGGAGTATGCAATGGACTTTTCTTAAAGACACTGAATGATGATGATGAAGATGATCCTGATGATACATTCTGTCTGCCAAGAGCAACATCAATTGAAAGTGAGGTGATGGACGTCTGTGATAAATTACAGGAAGACAAAATTACTTGTCAAATTAATGAGATGTGTGTTTCCTTGGAACGTCCAAGAAAGCCAGAAATCAACATATGCAGTGAGAAGGTAGAGGGCGGTTTGAAATCAGAGGAAAATGGCAAATCTTTGCATGTGATTTTGGAAAGGGAGAAAAAGCTTTACTCCCTCATACATTGGAGAATAATGACAGAGAAAGTGTAGAATCCACTACTACCTTTGGGAAACAGTTTGAGATTGATAGTAAGTTTGATAACAGATGGAAGGGAAAAACTTCAGTTGGCTTATATGAAGGTTCTTCAAAAATATATGAAAAGAAATGTTTGAAAAATAAGACTGTAAACGAAATCGGTAATAAAGAACGTGTCACAGAAGGACAAAAATTGGAAGATACACAGAATCAGGAAGTAGTGAAATCAGGAGTTGATGATGTAAATCATGGAGGTAAAAACAACTCTAGTCCTGTTAGTGAAACTGTAGAAAAGCTGGAGGCTCCAGAAGACATTTATTTACAGGAAATGAAAATACTGAGTTCTGAGAATGAGGAAAAATCAGAGGTTGCTCAACACATTGATTTCTATGATGGAATGATAGAAGGTCTCAGGAACCTTTTGCTCACTCAGAGAAAATTGACCACTTGAAACTTGTTAAAGCTACTCTCAAAACTGAAGGGTCCAAATCAGATGTACAGAATGCAGCATTTGAAAAAGAAATTAACCAGAAAATACGAGAAATGATAATGAGTTTTCTGAAAGAGCCTACCAACAAAGAGACTCACATTAATGAATTAGACTGGCTAGCAGAAGCTAGTATTATGGATTTATTTTGTGGACCTGAAAAAACCATCTGTTTGTTTAAGGATAAATTTTGGCAGAATATTAATAACCTTAAGGAGCTAGTCATTGCTGAAGAAAATACCCAAGATATTCCAAAATACCTGAAGAAGAAAAATGACTTACTCTCAGAAATAAGGAAAGTAATGTTATCATTAAAGTTACTAAAACTAACCACAGTATCTCATCCTTCAAGTGTTCAGTATGATGAAAACATCATCAATAATGATAAATTTGTAGTTGCTAACAAGTGTTTTAGTGATGAGTCTAATTTTGGAGTTTCTGAGGCCATTAGTGTTTCAAAACAAACAGAATACTTATCTGATACTGTTGTTATGAGCTGTCAGTCTTCCTACAGTGGATGTCAGCAAACTTTACGTAGAAGAGAAACATTGGAGTCAGCGGACTTTTCACCTCAACTTCAGAATGACTCTGAAACTTTAGTTGATCTTTATAACTCCATTTTTAACTCTACAAGTATGAGATCACCTGTACATCAGACAGCCTATTCAAGCTGTGAACAAATGCCACATATTTCTACCATGGCAGAAAATAGTCCAAGAAGAGTAACACCTGTAAGCAATCCTCCTGATGCGGGAGGATACAAACAATTTGGTGCCTGTGTAGATGGTGACAGAGCTCATAACTCAAGAAATAGACAAACCATATCAACACCACAAACAGATCTTACAATGACTCAGGCAGCTACAGAGCCTTTTCACAAAGTAATGACATTTCCTGTAAATGTGTACCAGAAACGGCAGCATCAAAATATAGGTGTTTCTGATTTCATCCAAGATGGGATTACACAACAGCAGCAACAAGACATAGGAATATCAAATCAAAAACAACAGTTCATGCTGATGAGAAATATGAATGCTCAAGAGGAAAGGCTACTACAAGATGCAGAAACTTCTAATGTAGTACAATCAAACTTTAATAAAGAATATACTATGCATCTGAGCATCATACAAGTTCGAGTGAAAGATGTCATAGCGAAGATGCTATAATATTGCAACATTACCAAGACATGTTAAGTCCAAGAGCTATAGAACAATTAAGAACAAGCAAAAGTCTTTCCAGTGAACAACCTCTAATGATTTATACCGAACAGCAACATACAGACATCATACAAGAAGTTAATCCATGTGTAGCTCAGTCAAATGATAATCTGGTATATAATCAAGAACAGCAACATCATATGTTTACAAATGATGTCACACAACACGTTGAATCTAGTGAATCATGGTGTGATCACTCATCTAGACTAGTGTCCAATCATGGAATGTTTCTTCATAATATCCCAAAATATATTGGATCTAGTGAAGCATGGTACGATCACTCATCTAGTCTGATATCCACTCAAGAATATGAAAATAATACATTTGTTCATGACATCAAACAAGAATTTAGACCTAGTAAATCATGTTATGGCCAACCATCTCAGCTGATACCTGATAAAGAACAACACAAACAAATAGGTTCTTCTGACAGTTTTAAAGAACTTAGGTTGAGGAAGACATGTTACAATCACGCTAATGAACTGTCGTCTGTTCAGAACCAACATGCGGAAAGAGCAATGAATCCAAACATTTCATGCCATGACAAATACAATGGATTTTTTTCTGGTCAAGAGTCTTTGATGTCTAGAATACCACAGAAAGAAGATCATTTAAGCACATCAGTAAAAGCACAAGAGTGGAGACTTACAGGAAATTCTTCTAGTCGGTTGCCAAATGAAGCTCTTCCTTCAAGAGTGCTGAAGAATCCAGTCACAGTTGTTAGAAATAATGAAACAATCCCTAGGCTTGTTTGGAAACAAGCCAGTGATAGAATACCTCCAAACCGACCTACATGGCCACAACTTAACCAGACATTTGACAAAAGTGTTTACAAAAGGTACTTAAATAGGTTAGGAAATTATGGTTCTGAATTTATATCTGTTAGCAGTATTGCTGCAGTGGGCCCAGCTACCTCATCCTTTTTTGAAAATCGTTTGAGAAACGAACAATTTAATTCTACTTTAAATGCATCGTTTATCTCACCTATTGATCAGAATATGGAAGGTTAACCAGAGTTTGTTTTACCTCATGTTCCACACCTGGAAAGTCCACAAAAACCAGTTTTATAATTTTAGACAAGGTCAATTAAATGGCTTCTACATACAGAGCACTTGTTGGCCATGGAATGAGTTTGTAAGCCAGCAAATTCAAAGTTTAAGACCTGAGAATTGTTTGTCTCATTTGAGAATATGAAAGAATGTAACAGAATGAGACACATGTAAATATTTGTCCTTTCACGAACATCAACAGAAGTTTTCAATTACGAATCAATCAGGTAAGGATATAATACACAATCATATTTTTATACTTGAAATAATTCATAAGTTAAGGATTTTGAACCTAAATTATTTCTGAGTATTCTAAGTATTAAACCTGAAAGAGAAATGAATAATTAATCTTTGTTGTGTAAAAAACATTAAATACATAATAGATTTTCATAACAGAACCATATTGTCTCTATGTTCACGAGCTTCTCTTCTTGAAAAACAGATATTAAAGTATATTGTTTTAAATTAAGTTACATCGTATTACTACTCACTGTAACATCAGGGTTTATCATATCCTTGTTATTAGTTTTTAAAATAATTATTAGACTGCGTTTAGAATTTACATTCCTGTTATTCAAGCATGAGGGTAGAATTTCTTCTGGTAATTACAAAGTACAAGTAGTTGATTTTACTTGTAACTACTTCTTTGGTTTGTCTTGGTTCTTGTCACAAAGCTGACATGTTTTACAAGTTGTTTTCAGTGTTTTCTCAATTTTATCGCAGACATGGTAGTGAATGCATTTCAAATTGAAATTGACCCTGCCTGCTGGATATTTATTATACTCCTGAAGAATGCACCTAACTAATAATTATTTTCCTCTATTTATGGATATGGTGGACACCTGGTTGCTGTTTTCTACACGTGTTCTTTGTGTACTGTTTGCTCCTTAGATTTCAAGATTTACGGTATTGAAAGCTTCTGTTGGTTCTGAAGTAACTTGTGCGACTACATTTCTCCAATCAGAGCCTGACTTCTGTGTTAATACTTTCACCCACTGTTTATTTGGCTGACTAAGCCATTTGAAAAAAATATTATTTGGTGCTTTTAGAAGATTCTCTTTTTTAGTTTTATAGACTTTTCCTTCTCTTTTGTAGACTCACCAAGTCTGCTCATGGTTCTGAGAGTGTATGTTGGTGATCCAACATTTACTAGCTAAGAACTTTCTTATAGTTTAAAATGGTTGTCTATCTACTGTGGGTAGTAGAACAACTGCACACATGTCTGTTCAAAATTATTTGGCCATTGTTTTTTTTACTGGCCCCTCAGTATCTGTTAACTCCATTATGTCTCTGAACGTATGAGCAAGATGAAGAGGATTTCCATGTTACTGGTAATTTCACATTTCTATATGCTTTAATTCTTGGATGGGGAACTTAAGCATCATTCTTTGGAGAGTTTTGTTGCTAAGTGATATATATATTCATTTTTTTACTTTTATTATACCTTAACCCCCACTCCCAACATAGTAATTTTTACTTTTATTATGCCTTAACCCCACTCCCAACATAGTAATTTTTACTTTTATTATGCCTTAACCCCACTCCCAACATATAATTTTTACTTTTATTATGCCTTAACCCCACTCCCAACATAGTAATTTTACTTTTATTATGCCTTAATCCACTCCCAACATAGTAATTTTACTTTTATTATGCCTTAACCCTACTCCCAACATTTCTGATCTCTTCTGGTCCACTTAAGGAAGTTGTTTTGCCTACAAGTTGTTTTTTTTTTTATTTATGGTGGTACCTACTTAGACGTTACTTTTGTACTTTTTTCACCTGTTTGACTGTGATCTGTTTCTGTGACTTAAAGGGGTAACTCAGCACATTCTCACCAGTTCAATCAGCTCTTGTTTCTTCCTCATTCCAAGTCATAAACTCCTCTGAGGTTTATAAATGGCAATGTTTGACACTTTCAAATGCTTATTTTCATATCCCAGTTTGGGTAACTCAGCTCTGCCACGCTGGTGAGAAATTAAGATTCCAGATATCGCAAGGAACTCAAATCTTCATTTAAAATTGAAGAGAGAGAGAGAGAAAATAATGGAAAGTTATGTGCTTCCTAAGTCCAGAGGTGTACCCCACTGGGGAACAAGTTGCATTATATCACTAATACATAGAAAAACTTGATGAGGGGTGTAAGTTGTAAGTTTATTGTTTTGTTTTGATTACAGAATGATCGTCCAAAGTGTAAGCTATCATGAAAATGAGCTCATCATAAACGCACAAGGTGGTACAAGGCTGTGGATCATGGAGGACATTGTGTCCTAAGTATTTCTTTATGTCGTAAATTCTTCTTTGAGTCGTAAGTACTTCTTTGTGTCTTGAGTATTTCTTTATGTCGTAAATACTTCTTTGTGTCGTAAGTACTTCTTTGTGTTGTAAATACTTCTATATGTCGTAAGTACTTCTTTTTGTCTTAAGTATTTGTTTATGTCGTAAGTACTTCATTGTGTCTTAAGTATTTGTTTATGTCGTAAGTGCTTCTTTGTGTCTTAAGTATTTCTTTATGTCGTAAGTATTTCTTTATGTCGTAAGTACTTCTTTATGTCGTATGTACTTCTTTATGTCGTAAGTACTTCTTTATGTCTTAAGTACTTCTTTATGTCGTGAGTATTTCTTTATGTCGTAAGTACTTCTTTATGTCGTAAGTAGTTCTTTGTGTCTTAAGTACTTTTTTATGTCGTAAGTACTTCTTTGTGTTGTAAGTATTTATTTATGTCTTAAGTATTTCTTTATGTTGTAAGTACTTTGTGTCTTAAGAAGTTCTTTATGTTGTATTTCTTTGTGTCATAAGTACTTCTTTGTGTTTTAAGTATTTCTTTGTGTTGTAAGTACTTCTTTGTGTCTTAAGAAGTTATTTATGTTGCAAGTACTTCTTTATGTCGTAAATACTTCTTTGTGTTGTAAGTACTTCTTTATGTTTTAAGTACTTCTTTGTGTCGTAAGTGCTTCTTTATGTCGTAAGTATTTCTTTATGTTGTAAATACTTCTTTATGTTGTAAGTACTTCTTTGTGTCGTAAGTACTTCTTTGTGTTGTAAGTACTTCTTTGTGTCTTAAGTATTTCTTTATGTCGTAAGTACTTCTTTATGTTGTAAGTACATCTTTGTGTCGTAAGTACTTCTTTGTGTCTTAAGTATTTCTTTATGTTGTAAATACTTCTTTATTTATGTCGTAAGTACTTCTTTATGTTGTAAGTTTCTTTGTGTCTTAAGTATTTCTTTATGTCGTAAGTACTTCTTTATGTCGTAAGTACTTCTTTATGTCGTAAGTACTTCTTTGTGTTGTAAGTACTTCTTTGTGTCTTAAGTATTTCTTTATGTCGTAAGTACTTCTTTATGTTGTAAATACTTCTCTATGTCGTAAGTACTTCTTTGTGTTTCATTCTTATTACTAGGTACTAATTGCTGTCTTAAAGCAGACACTCCTCAGGATGACGTGTTTCGTCATCGAAACATGTAGTGTCTGTTTTAAGACCGTTGATCGGTCAGAGAATAAAGTATTTAATTGTGTATTTGAAAAACGTTAATCGTTTGAGTATTTTAATTATTCATTAGTTTCATTTGTATTACTAGGTGCTAATTGTTAAGTAGTTTATATCCTACATTGATATGGGGAAACATGGCTTCTTTGTCTGTAATTTTATTTCTGTATTCATCGTTTAGACAAATGTGTTTAAACATACCGGGGGGGGGGGGTAACATGGACCTTTCCTGTCCATAGGTTAAAGCAATGCTCACATGATGACAGTCGTACATGAAGTGAGGTTTTACTAAGATATATTCACGTATATGAAGTAAGGTTTTACTAGGATATATTCAGGTATATGAAGTGAGGTTTTACTAAGATATATTCACGTATGTGAAGTAAGGTTTTACTAAGATATATTCACGTATGTGAAGTAAGGTTTTACTTAGATATATTTACCTATGTGAAGTAAAGTTTTACTATGATATATTCACGTATGTAAAGTAAGGTTTTACTAAGATATATTCACGTATGTGAAGTAAGGTTTTACTAAGATATATTTACGTATGTGAAGTAAGGTTTTACTAAGATATATTTACGTATGTGAAGTAAGGTTTTACTTAGATATATTCACGTATATGAAGTAAGGTTTTACTAAGATATATTCACGTATATGAAGTGAGGTTTTACTAAGATATATTCACGTATGTGAAGTAAGGTTTTACTAAGATATATTCACGTATGTAAGTAAGGTTTTACTAAGATATATTCACGTATGTGAAGTAAGGTTTTACTAAGATATATTCACGTATGTGAAGTAAGGTTTTATTAAGCTATATTTATATTTTTCTCATTCAGCTCGTGCAAGCACTTCGAAGAATGTGAAAGACTGAGTCTTCTGAATGAAGATTGTGAGCACTTGATGCTCATTATGAGTATACCATTGTTAGGACTTCTTTGTATAGGCACAATATAGTGAAAGTAAACTGCAATGTTATATGAAGTCAACAATGAACCTTTTGTGTAGTGTTTAATTAAAGAAGGATACACGTGTAGCACTATTCTAGGGCTACACGTGAAGCAAACAATGAAGCCAACAGAATCTTATTTATAAAGATACTATGTTCGCACGTTAACTTTAAAAAGAAACAGTACTTATCTTTAGCCAGACACGAGCTAACTGCAGAATGTCTTTCAACAAAAGTGAGTAAAAATGATGTTTCAAATCTCAACTTCACAGCGCCCTCTTTACGGATATTATCAGAAGATCTGCTTGTGAATGTAGGGTAGAAGGTGTAGATTATTAAATAACTCCAGATATTTTGTTTTCGTGGCATGAGATACCAGGAAACGCACTTAGTTCCCAAATAGCTTTAACCACAGAAAAGTGGGTTATAAGTATGAACAACAAGGTAATTATTTTTTACATTAGTAGTTATAGGCATCCGAGGGATATATATTACAGTGGGGGCTGGATGACAAAATAATATCAAAGCTATAACTGGAGGAATCACAATTATTTTATATTATCCTTTACATTTTAGTTAGATAATCCGGGGGGTACCCCCCCCCTTTGGACGCCAATGTAGGTATTCACCTTTTTTTTATTAACATATTGATTTAATAATAGCCATGGTTTAATGTTTAAATAAACGAGGTTGATTGTGCCATCTTTTGGACACTTTTAGTTCATTCCCCTTCTAATATTATATCTTCTCGCCTGTCAGTTGCGATATTGATCAGAGGGATAACTTGGATTAACTTTCATATTGTACAGTCTATTAAGTGAAGAACACATAGCACCAGGAATCCTCTGACAATACTGTTGAGTATCCCAACGTGTGGCATTCACCATCAATAATAGTATTTCGTCTTTTAGGTAAAAAAGTGTAATATATTTATTAGCTTTCATATGCTTCTATCTGTAAAAAAAGTGTAATATTTTTTTATTGGCTTCTATATACTATCTGTAAAAAAAGTGTAATATTTTTATTGGCTTCTATATACTATCTGTAAAAAAGTGTAATATATTTATTGGCTTTCATATACTTCTATCTGTAAAAAAAGTGTAATATATTTATTAGCTTCTATCTGTAAAAAAGTAATTATCATTAACTTCTGATCAAAGCAAACTACCTACATAAATTGGAAGTAACAATTAATCTAGTAATGAATATAGATCATTTGATACATTGTTCTTACTTTTACAACGATTAGAACGCTTTGAATCCATTAGTTGGTACCTCGCCCTTAGCGAGGTTTTCGGCCGTAATCCCAACCATTAGGGTACTGCACCACTGTAAAATTAGAAGAAACCGTACAAATCCGAAGCAGGTGTCCTTTTCACATTAAGAATTAGGAGTTACACGATACTTATTGACCTTAACAGTTAGAAGATACATTATTGAGGTGAAATAAATGACTCCTTAACATGAAGAATTAGATGATACATAATAGAAATGAAACGGATGATCTCAAAAGTTTAATTTGATGCCGTACTGAACACTTTATAACAAATTATCATATTCGGTGACGAGGAACCCACTTTGAGACTAATAATGGCTGGAGACGGCTTGAATGGGTAATGAAGAAAACTTTAATATAAGTTTAATAATAAACTAACGAC